GAATTTGGTAATGGCTAGGAGCAAGGGAAGAATTCCGGAGGGAGTCGAGTCCGTAATTGGGTCCGGGAGTCGAGTCCGTAAGGGCAAGAGTGGAGTCTAGGGCTTACTTGTCTAAAATTTTTATTATTATTTTTTTTAAGACTTTCCACATCGGTTCATGGGGGAACCGATGTAGAAAGTAAAATGGTATATCGGATGACCGATCAGAATGGCTTTATGACCAATCGAACCGGATGATCGATCAGAATGAGATTATGACCGATCGAAATTGTTTTAAATCGAGTAGATAGCACTTTCCACATCGGTTCATGGGGGAACCGATGTAGAAAGTGAAATAGTATATCAGATGACTGATCAGAATGACTTTATGACCGATCAAAACTGGATGATCGATCAGAATGAGTTTATGATCGATCAGAATTATTTTAAATCAGAGTAGAAAACACTTTCTCGGGTTGTATTTCGCTTGAGCGACACTATACTCGCTCGAGCGACATCCGATTCTAACATGAGGTCTCCCATGTTACATTATCCGGCTAACTTTGATCGACGTTTACGCAGGTCAACATTCGCTCAAGCGACAATAAGATCGCTCGAGCGACGCGACCTACACAAAATTGGCATTCTCGGGTTGTATTTCGCTTGAGCGACACTGGTCTCGCTTGAGCGACACCACCTACACAAAATTGGCCTTCTCGGGTGGTTTTTCGCGTGAGCGACACTGTCTCGCTCGAGCGACATCCACATTTTTTGGTTATGATCGATTACATTTTCAAATGATCGATCATATTTGAATATATATAATAGCGGTTAAGATTTAACCGCTATTAGACGTGCTATATAATAGCGGTTAAGACTTAACCGCTATTAGAAGTGCTATTATAATAGCAGTTAAGATTTAACCGCTATCATATACAACCACATTTTTCAATTCCCTGTATACAACCACATATACAACCACATTAGACAGTAAAATAGTATATCAGATGACAGATCAGAATGACTTTATGACCGATCAGAACTGGATGATCGATCAGAATGAGTTTATGACCGATCAGAATTATTTTAAATCAGAGTAGAAAGCACTTTCCACATCGGTTCATGGTGGAACCGATGTAGAAAGTACTTTCTACATCGGTTCCCATCTGAACCGATGTGGAAAGGCTTTAAAAAAATTTCTACATCGGTTCTTTAACAACCGATGTAAAAAGTCCGATGTTAAAAGTGTTTTTTGTACTAGTGTAATAACAAAATGTGTATTTTGAGAGGAGTGAAACAATGTCTTTAATAAGATAATGGATGAAGTAATTGAAATGAGATAATTAAGTTATATATAAGATTTTTAAATCACTCAAAGATGATATTATAATTGAAATTGTGATATTGATAATGAATACGAGTTTATTTAAATAACTTATGATTTTGGATTGTTGTTATGATTTTATTTAAAATATCATCTTATCCTCTATGATAATTTTTTATATTTGAGAATAAATGATGCAGATATTAGATTTACTAATCAGTTGAACTATAAAAGATATACTATTTTGATATTGTTTTATTCAATGTCATGTATAAATCTATCAAAAAGAGAATTTGATTTCAAGAAATAGTTGTATAAATATTTTAACTTTTGGAAGATTTTATTTATTTAATTAGATATATAGTAAATTTTTGGACTTCAACTAATATAATTGCATATAAATTTTAATTATTTCGTTCCAAATTTAATGGCAGAATATTTATATTTGAATTTTATTTTATAATCCACATAAAATTTCATAATTAATCCTAGATTACGAGAATATCACACTTTGATGGTGCATGACAATTTTTTTTTTATTAACGATTTGTAATATAGTTACAATTATTGTAATATTATATTGTTTTATTCATAATGTAAATGTTGGATTCAATCAATAATCATGCGTCAATTGATTATTAGACTGTATATTATGTAAATTTTTAGTTGTTAAATAAAAAACAATATTTTAAGTTATATAAAACAGGTTTTAAAAATAAAAACCATAAAACATATAATGAAAACCAACAAAAGAAAATTCAAATTTTATACGCTACATTAAAAAAAAAAAATTCACCACAAACCCCCCTTGAGTTCTCATTCCGTAAATATAAGTACTTTTTTTGAGCTTATGATTTTTATTCACTACTTTAAGTAAGGTTCTTTCTCCTCACCTAACCTTCTTTAAAATAGAAAAAGAAAATGTATGATTCATGAAAGGTATATTTTTGTATTATGTAAAACTACCTTTATTAATTAGCTTTTTCTTTACACACGACAAAAATATATAAATTAATTTTGAAAAGCTCGCATATGTACTGCTTAAATAAATCATTATGACTAATATTGTACTTTCTTAATAATCTTTGTAATATTTTATAAAATTACATTACGTTAAGAAACAAAATACTTATTATTATCTTACAATGTAAAAGTGTAAATATGTCTATTATTTGAGAAGATACTATTATTTTTAGAAGTTTGGTATATAATAATTTTGCTTTTTTCGGTATCAATATGCCAAAATTGATTTTAATTTCTGTTTTATTTCCTTTTTCCGTACCGTTTTATGTTCGGGATGCAAAATTTTGCTGTCTCTTAATAGTTCATAAAAAAAAAACACGCATACACAATAGTACAAATGATTTAGTGTAAAAATATATTAACTTATTTACAAATTCTTTTCTTTATTTGAACCCAACAGAATCATTCTTTCAATTCAGTGAGAACGTATTAGTTACCCATTACTTTCTCATAAAACTTGTTATATGCACATGAATCGACTTTAGAGATATTAAAAAAATTGAAGAAATTAAAAACCTTCACAATCAATTTCATAATCTTAAAATATATATATATATATATATATATATATATATATATATATATATATATATATATATTTTGTAGTATTTTGACAACTCTTAACCAATTAAGATATCTTTTAAGCATACAATTGTCATAGATTAAAATTTAATTAAAAGTGATCAATTCTTTAAATATGATAATTGATTTTAACGATGTTATCATAGTGAACATCATATTAAGATATTTTATTATTTCTACACGAAATATTGCAGTCTACCATAAAATCAAAGATAGAATCTTAGTCTATTTTTACCTTTTAATTATTGGGGATTATATTTCTGTATATTTATAAATTTATATAATTTATAAGTAAATGTGAAAGATAATTTATATATATATATATATATATATATATATATATATATATATTAATCATCAAAATATTTTTTATGACAAAACCATGATAAAGAAGAATTTTAAAACATATAATACCTCAAAATAACATAAAACCAAATCAGAACATTTTCTCTAGATGAGTAGATGGAACAAAATTTAAATTGGCAAATATAATTAACAAAATTTAAATTTGCAAATATAATTATTATACGAACTCTTTGTGTGTAATAGACTCTAATTATGTTCATGTTTGACTTATAAAATTTTCACCTAATAATCATGAACATCTATGATTCTGACCTAAGAAAATTATGGGAAAGCATGGGTACGAGGAAAATGAATGAATGTCTAAAGATGTATATGTCCAGCAGGTAAAAATTAAATTCACATCCTTTGAGGGTGGGTATAATTGGTAAAAATTAAATACATGTCTTAAAAAACCTAAAGAATGTATTATTAGTTTAGATATCTAATTGTAATTTACAAATTTAATGAGCATAAATCAAATTATTGATATATTTAAATTTGTTGGATGAGATGAAATAATCCAAAAATTTAATTGGATTGTACAGAAAATTTTCAACAAACTAAATCAATTCGAATTGAAAAAAAAAAAAGAAAAAAGAGAGAGAGAGAGAGAGAGAGAGAGAGAGAGAGAGAGAGAGTTGATTGATTGATCGATTCAGATTTCATTGTCTTAAAAATCATGCAAGTCGACCAATTAACAAGGTACAAGTTTGAGTTTAATTGTGAAAGTGAAAAATTGTAGATCAATCATAGATAGATAGATAGATATTTGGATTAAAAAAATCATATCCTTGTCCAATGAACCTGGAACAGAACTTTAAGGTAAATTTTTGCGCACCTTAAGAAACTGGATGAATGTGTCGGGAAAATGTTTGGAGAAAAGCAAGTGAGAGAGCAAAGTTGTAATCGTTGAAAGCAGTGAATAGGGCATTTGGACTTGCTTACAAGAAATGAGCAAAAACGTAGAACTTGCGGGATTCACAATGTTTCATTGTTTGCTCTGGTTTGCCCACGTCATGAAAATGAATCATGGTGTTGACATCAGAGTCACTAGCAAAAACCTTAAGGCCCAAACACTTTGTTCCAAGGAAAAGATGATCACGATAAGTATTAGCTCATCTTTCCAGCCAGCAAAAATGATCCTTCTAGCCCTTTCCTTTCCAAAAATCCAAAAAGCAAAAATGGGTCCAATCACACATTTCTTAGTTTGTAAAGAAAGAAAAAAGGTGGGGAAGAAATTAATGACTCTGCACATTGAATCATTAGGAATTAGTAATTTTTTTTTTTATACAAGGTACATTTTAGTTGGTTGAACCGAGACATTGCTTGATCTTGGACAGTGACACCTTTGGCATATACAATGACTAGGACTTGACCCTCAATCCTTGTCCCTTTCTATACCAATAAAACCCCCTCTTTCATCTCCATCACCTCCTTCATTCCCTTTCTTTCTATTATTCCACATCTCTTTCTCTTTCTCTTTCTCTTTCTCTTTCTCTTTCTCTTTCTCTTACTCTTGCTTTCTCAATGATATCATAACTTCCATAGCCTCAATTAATCACTCACCTCACTACCCTCTTGCATCATCTCCACTCCCTTCACCTCTCAATGTGGTTTCTTCAACAAGGGTTGATCAATAGGTGAAGATGCTGATGATGCATCCTCGTGACCAGGTAGGTGGAGACACACGCAAGGATTTGGTGGCTGCAACTTCTTCTTCTTCCTCTTCAAAAACAAGAAACTGTGCATGCATGGTAAGTTACTCGGTGTTGATTTTGGCACTTCTCACTTTGTCAATTTTGCTGCTTCCCTTGGTGTTGCCTCCCCTGCCACCACCACCCTTGTTGCTTCTCTTTGTTCCCGTTTTCATCATGGTGCTTCTCTTTCTCTTCGCCTTTTCACCTTCCACACTGCCAAACATGGCTGTCCTTACATCGTGATGTTGTGTGCCATGGTGTTGTTGTAGCCTTGCAATCAAATCTATATACGCATTGTAAGTTCCAGCAGAATAAGCACCAGTGGAATATATCTTTTGTTATATGAATCATGGTTGTAATTTGTATTTAGTCTGTTCCTCTTTCGTTAATTTGTTTGGTATCTATGATGTATTGTTGGTACCTAGAAAATGTTAATTTTTGAAGCAGAGTAATGATTACCAAACGGCAAGTATGGAAATTGAGTCTTGGAAATGGTTTCATGATCTCGATTGATTGTTATATATATATATATATATATACACATAAACATGCCTAGTTACCTACATAGCACGCTGCAGAAATTAATGAAGTCACGTGAAACTATGGATGAAGAAGAAAACTGTTGGCTGGAATTATATATGAATATTTCTTTTTGCAAATTTTTAATAGCTAGGAAGAAAAATAATGTAGAATGTTATTAATGTTGTGCTTGGGGGGATGTATTTGACTATTTTGCTTCTTTTGATTAAGTCATGTTAAATTGGTAGTTCTGTTGAGATAATGTATCTGCGAACGAGATTGTGGAATTTGCTGGCCATTAGTCAATACCAACCATAATTAAGCCCAAAAGACAACGTCATCCAATTTTTTGAATTGATTAGTACCATTTGAGAAAGAAAGAGTCATTAAAAATTGCAAGTATTTCTAAGTTTTCCATTGAAAATGGAAGATGGTATTTATGTTAGCATGATGCACAAGAGATCACAAAAATCCATGTTTTTGAATGGATTAGTCAGATCCAATTTTTCTTTGGTGTTGACTTGGTTCTTGCTGAAGAAGACTTGTACGAGAATTAACCCACTTGTAAAAGAAACTCAATTCTGAAACTTAACGATGGACTTTCTTCACTTTTGACTTTTATGAGGTATCTTTATTCGTTTACATGTATAATAGTTTCATTTCTACAATTAGTGGATTAAATTCTTTTCTTTTTTTGGGCCTGCAAATATATTCATATTTTCTTTTAGCTTCTGTAACATTTTTTATGATCTCTGCAATATAAAAAAAATAAGCCGACTAAAAATATATTTATAAAGAATCCTCGATGAGGGTTCTTTGATTCAGTGGTTGAAATTTGGTCGTCCATCATAAATTTTTTTATTTTAAACACTTTTTGAATATTTAAATTGTTAAAATGAACCCAAGCGGGTGATGTTAACGAAACCAAAATAACTTTATGACATTATAATCTGAATTCATGGTGTGGGCTCTCCGTGCACTGTTCTCTGCAGAAATATCATGGCAGAAATGAAAAAGTAAAGGATCCCTTGCAGGGTGCAGTTTAGGAAGAATATAAAGGAAAACAATGATTGCAGCTTCACCGCAGTTCTCACTGTCTTGTCCTATGTATCAAGTTAACTGAATTTGGCTAAAGAGGATAAAAAAAATACATCTATTCATGTAATTTATATCATGATGCATTGCATGCATTTCCATAGTACCATCATGATTTCACAAAAATCAGTCCTCTCATCCATGGACCATTTATGCGATACATAAAGCAGCTTCATCAATTTCAAACATCTACAGAATCATCAAAATTCTTATTATATATATATATTTTTTTCAGACTTGGGTGATGAAGGACATCATTCTTATAATTATTCATCATTATATATAAAATTAAAGTTAAATTTTTTATTTTAAATTTTAACTTATAATTTACATTATTGCAAAACGAGATAAAAGACGAGGTTTAGTTAGCTATGTCGAGTATATTGAAGAGAACCAATCTTCCAAGTCAAGGTAGAAAGAAAGAAAAATGAAATATGAAGAAAAAGAACAAGAAAATGATAAGAAGAATGGGAAATTAGAATGAGATAAAAAAGAATAAACCTTATTATACTCCAATTTTTACAGATTATATGGTTATGGTTAAGTATGATATCACTCTATGTTTAAGGTATTTAAAATATTGTTTAACTAAATCCTAAATCATCTAAATTATGGATAAACAAGAAAATTCTTAAACCCTAAATATGTTAATCCTGAAAATATATTGATGGTATAAACAGTAGTGACTGTGGTAGGGTGGGTTGAAATGGGGGAGAAAGTTAGAAAGAAATATGAGTGAATGAGACACATTATGATTGATAGGGTGTGGCCCATAGGATGGATGTCTTGGTAAAACAGAAACAGAAGCACGCGCCCACCACGCCCCTGACCACTAAACCTTTTCCCCGAACCATGCAGCATGAGGGACTCCAACCAACATATTCATGGCTGCCATCCCTAGGCCACATCACTCCCTCCCTTTGCCCTTAGTCAATAATTATAAAGTAGGAAACAAACAGACACAAAGAATGCTCCTTTTCATTCAATAAAACCAACTCCTTCTTTTCGTTTTACACCCTCCGTCGGCGGATCCATTGTTTCTTCAAATGTCCTATGATGCCTTTTCCACCACCTTCATTCAAACCAATACATTGCTTTTTCGTTCACCTTTTTTACCAACAATTTTCCATCCTCACCCAATGCAACTAATCAATTTTACGCTACTATGCTCCAATTTTATTTTATTTTTTAAATCACAGAGGATCAGTTTCATTATAGGTATACATTAAGATTATAACAACATTAGCTGATCTTGATAATTGATATTAGGATCAAATAATATATTATTAATAAATAATAAAAAAATATAAAAAAAAGATAAAATAGTGAAAAAATAATATTATAGATATATACTTAAATATATTAAATGATCATTAAATTTGAAGGGAACAAAATCATAAATTATATGAGAGTTACAAAACTAATGAGAGAATGAGAGGATAAAATTATAAATATACAAATAAATATATTAAATATTCATTAAGTTTGGGGGACCAAAATTATAAATTAGATGAGATACAAAATTTTAGGAGGTGACAATTCCTTAAACTTCCAAGAAAATCCCACTGATATCAACGGTGTTTTAGCTTCGCTCAATCCATTAACCCCTTTGCTTTTACACTTCTTCGGAAAATGGGACTTTCTTTTACAAAGTTCCAACAATATATGTTTCCATATGTGCCATCAATTTCGGTTTCCTATTACCTAACTACAACTATATGTTAACTAACACTTTATCCCCACCAAATATCTTGTGTAACTATTTTTATATGAATATTTATTTAGTTATATAATTTATAATGGTGTTTTATGAATCAAATTAGTCTAAAAACCTTAAAAGAATATTTCTTTAAATTTTAAAATAAATCTTTGTTGTAATTTGATTTCAATTGAATTTAATATGATGAAAAATTATACTTAACTCCTTCAGGTTTTTCTAAAATAACATCTTTCTATTTTAGTTTTTAAAATATATTTACATTTAAATAATATCAAATTAGAGATGTGTCTAGTTGAATGTTACTTATTAAGTGTGTAAAATAGTTGAGTATTTCGGTGAAATAAAATAAAAAATTGTAAGTGTCGTTTAAAAGATCTGATGAAGATAAATGTAACTTTTCTAAAATAATAAAGATTAGCAATAACAGTAATTTAAATCTTAAAATGTTATATTAATTATTGATGATAACCAATGGAGACAATCATATGATTGCAGTGCATTTTAATTCATACCCTAATAATATGAATGATAAGTTGATAACCAATAGAAACAATAATAAATGAATTAGAGGTTATATTTTTAATTCTATAAAAAAAGTATTTTCTGTTATAGTTATTGTCATAATTCAAATCTTATAGTTAAAGAATTACATGCTATTATCATTTGTGTTATGAAGAGAATTTGATAATATGTATTTAGGGTTTAATCTTTTCTTTTGCTTGTCGCAAAACCAAATTACAATAAATAACAAAGCCAAAAAGAATTACAATTTTTCAGGATAAGATCAGTTAATCAACGAAATCTGAACACCTATAGTCTATGCTTAAGTTATCATTTAATTCAATAAAACCTTAAAATTGAATATTCATTTTGAATAAGAGTGATTTTAGTTAGATTTCTTAAATAGTTGAGAGTGTTTTATAATTTATTACCACTCTTAGTGATTAACCAAGCATCTTATCCAACATTTTTTTAAACTATCTCTTTGTTTGAATTATACTCTAATTTTTAATTTAATTTTAAAACTATTATTTTTAATCCTTATTTATATATTTAATTTTTAATTGGTTATTTTATTTCATTTATGTTTTTATCTTTATTTAAAACTAGATTCTAATATTTTAGAAAGAAATTTCCTACAATTAAAGATAACTCTATCATGGTATAAATAATTTATCGCAAATATAAAATATGGTTAATAAATTTATTTTAAAAATTCAGTTTTAGAGAAAAAAAATAAAGATTTGTCATAAGCATATATAGAATATAAATTTTAACAGATTTGAAAAAAATATTTTGTCTTCCACTGTGTAAGTTTGTTTTATGTAGCATGCAATGGTCAATTAATTAATATCGCTTTTCCTCCTTTGGCCCGCAATTAATTGCTTTTAATTCTTGGTTCAGTTTGGTTTTCTATATCTTTAGCTTGTAAATGCAAACTTTTAATATTGAGGTTCCAAGTGGCATCGGTATCTTCCATATGATTGATAGGTGCATGCATGTATTCCTTTCCAGTAAATAATTATTCTGCAAGTGGTCCAACTTCATGTTTAAGTGCTAAACAAGCTTTATTAGGATACCCAATCCTCTAAACTATCATTAAAACTTAACTTTATGTAAAATAATTACTATTAGGGTTTAATTTAAGGTCAGTTTCATGGATATGTAAGAAATTGGATGAAGGGCTTTCCTCGAGCAGAGTGAACCGATGCACTGTGGCATCGTCCTTAAATTTGTGGCAGAAATAGAAGAAGTAGAGTGGTCCATTAAACGGTGCTTTACCTTTTTTTTTATAATAAAATATAGTTAAACAAATTGTCAAAGCATTCAATTGCAAAGAAGAAAGATCCTCAATTTTCTGTTTACCTCTACCTATATACAGGAGAAGAAGAATTGAGAGGAAGAATGTGAAATTATGTATTTTCGATTGGATTT